TTTTTTTTTGAGGCAAGGGCTCACTAAATTACTACATTGCTTGGGGTGGGCCAGAACTTGTGATCCTCCTGCCTCAGCCTCCCAGAGTGCTGGGATGACAGGTGTGCATCGCCACGCCCAGTGCCCCCCACCCCTGACCTTGACCCTTGTCTCAGTCCTGCCTGAGGAAAAACCCAGTTTGTGAATTTAAACCCTGCTGTCTGCTTGTGGTCCTGTGAGTTCAGCTGGGCCCATTTCACAGGTAAGCAGGGTGGGGTCCTGGGCTGGGTCCCTCATCCGACTGCAGATGCCAGGGAGAAGCGACTCTGAGCTGGGATTCAGCCTGCAATACAGACCTGCAGCAGGCGGGGCGCTCCCCACCCTGGCCCGGCCCCTCCTAGAGCTTCTGGGGTCTCCAGCTTTGACAGTTGGTCCTGGGCCCCACGGGATCCCAGGTCACAGTTTCCCCTCTGTCTTCTTCTTCTGCAGCCCGGTGGGGAGCAGGGACAGCAGAGGAGCTGGCTGTGCCTTTCTAGGGGAGCAGTGCACCACCTCCCTACGGTGGGCAGAAGGCAGGAGATGCCAGGCACAGGGATGTAGGCGGGGCCAAACCCCAAGGAGGTCCTGAGGCTCCTGCCCAGGAGGAGAAACCAGAGGAAGTGGGGGTCTCTGCCACCTCTGGGGTCCCCTGCCTCCTCCAGCTGACCGTTGTGGAACTTGGGGCTGCTTTGTCGAGTCCCTGTGGTGGCAGAGTTCCTGAGGTCGAAGTGGATGCTCTGCCTCTAGGGCCCAGTTCGAGGGAAAGCTGGAGCCCAACTGCCTGGGTTCGAATCCCACCTCCACCCCTCTGTGCCTCTCTGCCTCCGTTTCCTCATCTGTAAAGTGGGAATAAGATAGTGTTCGTCTTCAGGGTAGCTGGAAGGTGAGGGTGCCTTTCACCAAGTGCCTGGACCTGAGGCTCGCGCTCACAGGCACTGAGTAAGGGCACAGGGCTGGCCAGGCACTGTGGCCCTAGCATTCTAAGAGGCTGAGGCAAGAAGATCTCAAGTTTGAATCCAGCGTGGGCAGCTTAGTGAGATCCTATCTCAAAATAAAAAATAAAAATAGGGGCTAGGGATGTGCCTCAGTGTGAAGGCCCCTGGACTCAATCTCCTCCGGCTCTGGAAAAAAAGAACAGAGAAAAAGCCCACGTGACGATGCCCCTTCAGCTCAGCCCCCGCCCAGGTCCCTGCCCTCCGAGGTCCTGGACCTTCCACCAGCCGCCAGCTGGTCAGGGTCCGTCCTAGCACAGGGGGCCTCAGCTCAGTAGTGCCTTTCTTGGCCTTTTGGGAACTGCTATCCCCGCTTCCTGTTTATCGCGTTTGTCGTCGGTGGCTCTCCGCACCGCTCTCAGAGCCCACCTCCCTGTCCCTGCTGGCCCCGCGCTGGCCCCGCGCCTCAAAAGCCCAAAGTCTGCGAGGGGCTCAACGGTGCAATGTAGACCTAGGCCACCAGGTGGCGCCAGAGGACATGCGATGAGGTCCTCTCCCTTAGGCTTGGGGGGCGCGAAGTGGGAGGGCTGGGGCCTCCCGGGGCTCCTTTCCCTCCCCGAGGCTTCCAGCTCCTTGCCCGCCCTTTCCTTCCAGGGCCGCAGAGCTGTGAAAGCCCGAGGGTCCCCTCTCCCAGACAGGAAGAGCAGTTATTGTGGTGGCAACAATTTATGACAAAAGTCGTGTTTGGCAGGTGAGAAGTCCTGGGTTCAATCTCCAGCACCCAACAAAATAAAACAAACAGCTATTTCTGGGGGCCGGACTCTCCTTGAGGCATTTTTAATTTAAATACCGCATTACCACGCAAGGTGGGCCCTGCTCAATGTCACCTCCACTTGCAGAGTGGGAGCCGAAGCACAGAGATGTTAATGGCGTGCCCAAGATCACACAGCTGGTGGTGGTCAGAGTTGGGGTTGAGTGCAGGTAACCTGTGTTCCTGAACCAAGCTGTCAAGGCAGCGGCTGGAGGGCTGGTGCCCAGGAGCCCTTCCCGGGAGGGTGGTGCCCCCGGCCAGCACTGGGCATTGGAAGAAAGGGCTGTATTGGGCTGTCGGGAGGCTGAGGCAGGAGGATAGCAAGTTTGAGGCCGCCTTAGGCAATTTAGCAAGATTCTGTCAAAATAAAACTTTGAAAATTTAGCTCAATCCCTAGTTTGGCATTAACAACAATAAAAAGAAAGAACAAAAGCAAGCAAGAAAGAACAGATAAATGAAAGAGAGGGAAAAGAAGCAAAGAAAACTTTTCTGGAGTTGAGCAGAGATCTCAGAGCTGGGACAAGTTTGTTTCTGTTTTGTTTGAGTTCACAGCACTGAGGACTGAACCCAGGGCTTTCATGCTGAGCTTCACCCCCAGCCCTTTTTGAGTCTTTATTTTGAGACAGGGTCTCACTAAGTCTCTTAGTTGCCCAGACTGAGGTCCGACTTGCAACTGTCCTGCCTCAGCCTCCCAAAGTGCTGGGATTGGACACGAATCTGCCACCCCACCTGGCTGGAAGAGGTTGGAGGGACAGGTGCCACCATCCTGTCCCTTGGGTCCCCAACAGCTTGCAAGGCTGTGCCCCTGCCTCCCCATGCTGTGGGAATGTAGGAACAGTGCCTCAGTTTCCCCTTCGCTGAGCCGTCACCAGTCTGTACACTGTGCCACTTCTGAGCCGTCTGTGCCACCTTGCCCAGCTCCCTTTGGCTTTCATGGAGACTGAGCATGACTGACTGAATCACTGGCCACTGGGGCCCGGTTATCCGCCATCCCTCTCCTCCTGGGGGTGGAGGGCCGGGTGGACATCCCAGCCCTCCTCGGGCTCCCTGAGACCCCGGACCCCAGCCCCGTCCCACAGCTGCAGGGCCAGAAGACACCTGGCTTTGCAGGCTGAAGGAGCCGCAGCCTGGAAAGGGTGCAGAACAAGGACGACTCTGTACTGGGCCGCTCTCCCGCACAGGAGCCGGCGGGTGGCTGAAGCTGCTTCTGGCAGTTTGGGGGCATCCGCGGGGAGGCAGGCAGCTGAGGAGCCCGAGGCCCAGGAGGACACGGGCTGGGCCGGGGCTGCCCTGCAGGGGCTCCCAACGTGGCCCAATCTGCACCTCCCTCTCAGTCCCGAGAGTTCTGGGTTCAGGACCCTGGCACACGCACGCGTGCACACACACATGCACACACGCGCTGTAACACACACGCACACACGTGTTCTCTGACACATGCACACACATGTTCTCACACACAAACATGCACACACGTGTTCTCACACACACACATGCACACACCTCCATCAGTCATTTCTCCATGCAGAGTCCTAAGGCCGTTTATTGTTGTTTTGGGTTTTGGCCCAGGGACTTCGAACCAAGCCCCCTTTCATTCCCTGCCCTGTTTCCTGTTTTTTGGAGACAGGGTCTGGCCATGTTGCTGAGCTGCTCAGGCTGGGCCTGAACTTCCGGTCCAGGACGCCGTGACCAAGGCCTGTGCCATCGCACCTGGCCGTGACGCTGGTTCCTAAACCTAGCCGTGCCGTTCGCTTTTCCTGGGCAGGTCTGTCCTCCCGGGGCTTGGCAGTGGCGCCGTGCGGGGCTGTGTGGAGGCCTCGGC